TGTTCTGTTTTACAGGATGATGATGATGATGTTCTGGATTATCTCATCTCGTCTGGGTGTTTTGCAGAGGTGCAGCCCGTGAGCTGGATGAAAATGGGCTTATATACAGTGTGCATTTATACGGGATTTCCAAATATTTTTAGAACTTACTGGTGTATTAATTTAGATTTTTTAGGACTTTTAAAAATTGTGGGGTGTTTATTTGAATTTAGTATTTGATCATCTGGAGCTGCAGAGATGCAAATAAAATTTTACGATTTATGTGTGTTTATGTAATATTTAAAATTATAAGTTAGATAATGAAATGTTATGAGTTATGTGTGTTTATGTAGTATCTATAATTGTACGTTAGATAATGAGTAAATAACATGTTTTAAAGTTTCTACTTATATATACTTATATAAAAAGACATTCTATTTACTAGAATTAGTTAATTGTTTTGTCTCATAACACATTTTCAATACAGCTTACCATGATTTTTCTATTGTAATTAAAAACCAAATTTTACGTTGAAAATCTTGTGAAATTATTATTATTATTTTATAAAGTACATATTATTTGTTAAATAATTATATATATATATATAATACACATCACAGTACCATGGTAGATTATTTAAATTTCAACCGATCAAAATGCCAATTATTTAAATTTGAACACACCTATGCGTTTGACCAAATGTCTTGATGATTTAAAATTGAGCCCAAAAAAATATTTAAATTTAAACACACTAGAAATTTTATATACTTTTTATGTATAAATATATTTAAAGTTGTTATATAAACTATTTTAATATGTTTGCAATGAATAAAAGTTTGAATAAATAATTTGTAATATTATTAATAATGTTTGTGATTTATGAGACACGAACATATAACTCCATACATATTTGCAAGAGGGCGGCTTAATAATTTTTTAGACTTGACGTTGATTAAAATAGGTAGAAAATAGATAATAACATTATTACTTTTTAGACTTAAACGGACAAGATTGTGAAAATAACTCATTTAATATTTTTGTCTCGTGGATCGCACGGGGTACGTACTAATAAATAGTGAACAACATAAATATAAACTATTTAACTCACGTATTAATTTTTATATTGTTACAATACAAATTAATTGGATAAATCAATATTAAAATTATTATTTATAGCAATTGTGGACGAACTTTTAAAGTGTTTGCTTATACATGTGCCGAGCTTTGGGGTCTCATGCAAGGACTAAGTATGGCGTGGGACTTGGGGTTTCGTCAGGTTATTGCGGAGGTGGACAACTAGTGTGTGACGAAGCTGGTTACGGGAAAGGAGGCCGTGCTTGGAACCCATGCGGCTCTGGTGAAGGCCATTCAGAGTATCTTGGATC